GGAGCCAGGGCGGCTGAGGGCGGGGCCGGCTGAGAGGCGGGGCCTACCTGCGGGGCCGTGACCTTGGCGGTCAGGTTTCCGGCCTGCACGTCGATGAGCCACGCGTACTCCAAGGAGTCGCTGCCCAGCGGGAGGCCCTCCGCGGAGAACATGGCGTGCGCGCGCAGCTGCAGGCCGGACAGGCTGATGTGGCCCTCCCTGAGGCTCTCGTCCGCGGCGGGGCGCTGCGGGGACACCTGCGTCAGATGCAGCCACCGCGCTCGCCCAGCGGGTCAGCCCCGGACTCGGCACCCCAGGCGGCCACCGCCCGCCTGGCTCAGCTGAAGCTCCGGAGCGGGGGGTTCCAGGGAGAGGCGAGCCCCCCACCCCTGCCCCTGACTGCCGCTTACTTCAGGGAAGACCCGCGGCCAGACTCAGGCCGCTCCCAGGCTGGCGGCGGGGCCCAGACTCCCTCCTCCTGGGCCCACTGTGGCCACAGCCCGCTGCATGGACACCACCCACCTTCCTTCGGTCAGCTGCCCGGGCGCCTCGGGCGTGGCTACACACGAGGGCAGCTGCTCTCAGCTCGCTGCCTGTGGCCCTGTCTGCAGGCCACCTGCAGGGCCACCCCAAGTCTAACACATTTTGGGGAAGGCGCTCCCGAACACCCCTAACTCCCAGGGCCCTGGCTGTGACAGGCCACGTGGTCAGCGCCGAGGGGCCCCAGCCAGCTTCCTGCAGCAGCCTGCCTGGCGTCTACCTGGCGTCCCCTAGGAGTGGGCGCAACGTGGGGGGTGCCCAGCTGACGCCTAGCAGGGACTTGGTGGGTCACGACTTGTGTGGACAGTGCCTCCCCGCCTGTGGCCGAGGATGAGTCTGGGTCTCACGACGCAGGCCAGAGTGTCCCCGAGAGGCCTGCCCACGCCGTGAGCCCGGGGTCAGCCCCTGAGCACGGCCCATCAGGGAAGGGGTCTCAGAGATGAGAACAAGTGAAGGCGGTGCAGGGCCCTCAACCCTGTGAGGGGAAGCCCTGCCCGTACCCCACAGCCCAGGACCCTTGTGGGCCCCTGGCCAGCAGCCCAGGCGCACCGAGGGAGCCACGCGGCTCCCGGTCAGACAGCCGCACACACTTGTCCCGGCCCAGACCGGACGGAGCACTGAAGCCTCTGCGCTGGGCTTTGGGGACCAGCAGTCCGGCGGTGACCAGAGAGGAGTGGCGGACCGGGCCAGTGTGCCCTTGATGCCTAGGCCGCGGGGCAGATGGGGCCAGCAAGGTTCCCCAGGGCGGCAGCGGCCAGCGTGCCGGGGCCGGGTCGGGGCTGAGGCCTGTCCCACCTGCCGGCCCTGCCCGCCTGCTGCCGCCGCCCCTCCCGCCGCTGCCCCACCCCTGCACCTGGTGGTTGTCGCTGACAAACACGTTCAGGGGCGACAGCACGAGTTGCAGCATGGTCTCCCCGAGACCCTTCTTCATCTCGAAGCACAGCCTCTCCAGGAAGGCGCTGGGGCACTCGGGCCCATCCGCCGTGCCATGCTAGGACCACAGGTGTGCGGTCAGTGCCGGCCCTGCAGCCTGGTCGGTGCCCCAGGGGGCAGCAGTGCCCGCTCACTGGCCACACCACCGCACACACAGCCGGGCTGCGGCACCAGCGGCCTCTCCTGCTCCGGCCTGCAGGGGTGGGGCAGGGCGCGCCGGCTTCCCCCATCCACCCAGAGGCCAGGGCCACGCACAGGGCACCGGGCGCCTGGGCAGGTCCAGCTCAGACACAGCCACCTGCGGGGCGGCCGGAGCCCGGACTGGGCATGGTCATGGCGCCGGACACAGGGCCGAGAAAGCCCCGTCCCGGAAACGCGCCGGGTGAGCCCCAGGCCCAGGTGCCACGCTGAAGCCACGGATGGCGAGGGGCAGCGAGGGACACAGGCTCCGAAGGGTTGGTCACATCGCGAGAGACGACGGACGCCTGGGCTCGAGCCCCTGGAGGCAAGGGCCGGCCGGGTTTGGGCGCTGACCACGCGCAGCGACACTCACGACAGGAAGGCGCCCGTGGACCTTGTACAGATTGACGAGGACGGTGATGTCCCACGGCCGCAGGGCCAGCGGGTGCAGTGACCTGGCCGTGCTCTCGCTGTCCTGCCTGTCGCTGTCCGCCCCCGCGGCCGTCCACCCCGAGCTGGACGAGGTCGACAGCGACACGACGGGGCTGGAGGCCGCCTCCTCGAAATCCATGTACACGTCGTCCTCGCCGAAGTAGTTCTCCTAGGGCAGAGCGTGGTGGTCAGATGCCCGCCGGCAGCGTCGCCTGGACGGCTTGGGCTCGCCGGGCAGGGCGGACGGGCCTGGGGGCCTCGCAGGCGGCTC